GGCCTGTGCAGAGGTGGTTGGGGCCCATCCCCTCGCTCAGAGCTCGGCGGAGCAGAGGTTTCGGGCTGTGCCGGGTGATTAAAGCCGAGCGGGTGTGTGTCGGTGAGCGCCGGTGTGGGGCAAGAGCCTTCGCGCAGCCTCGGCAGTCTCCTGTACTGCGCCCACCGCAGCCGCTTGATCCAAGCACAAGCACCTGGGACCCCGTTGTACTGACGTCAAACGTTTCGGGTCAGGTTGTTTGGGCTTTCATCTTCTAAATACTTACTTATGTGTGTGGACCTGGTTTATAGGGGTAGCCTCTGGGTTTGGGAAGCACGGCCCGAACAGTGACCTAAGAAACCTCTTCTGTTGATGGCAGTGATTTGCTGTTGCCCTTCTCTGCAGACTGGGTGCTCATAGATTATATGTGCTTGTTAAAGTTGCCTGCCCATGTGATAACGATGTGTGCTTACACTGTCACTTGTTCATTCTGTGTTCTCTTAGGTGTGCAGGCTGTTTGTCAGGGTGCCACTATCACGCAGGAGCTTCTGAAAGAGGGGTTTCACAGGTAAGGTGCTATCCTGGCGCTGCATCAGAATAATGTATAGGGTAATTTTACATGTGAATGAGCTTCTCCTAATTGATACATAGTTGTATCAACTCACTGAGGTGTGATACATAGGCATGGGTAGGCAGTAGGAATATATTGGTATGATCAAGTAACTGACAATTACAAGCTATAGTGGAGGAGGAATAGGAGGCCCTTTTCTAAGAACTGTGTGTGGGTCATTGGTAGTACTGAGAAGTTAACAAAAAAGTGAAACTTCATTTTGGTTATGAATGTGGAGTTAGGGTGAACTACCTCATCCTAACCAGAGAAGGACAGCACGGCTTGAGAGGGAACCATTTTCTGAACTGCTTGCACACAGAGCTGCAGCTCATCTCTGTGCATTTGAGAGTATGTCTCTTCGGGGGGGAAAAGAGAGGTGCCATCTTTTGAAGCATGGGTATAAACGTTTTGCTTCTGTTGCTTGTTTTAAGGGACCTGCTTTTGAAGGTAGAGCTTGGTGTAGTGGGTGAGCATGCAGGAGGATGCACAGTGGCAGCTAGAACTCATCTTCCACCAGGAATCTATGTGGATCCCTATGAGCTGGCATCACTGCAGCAGCACAATTTAACAAAGGTAACAATTCCAAAGCTAAGACATCTGGCAGTTACTCAGAGAAGGATGCTCAGGAAGTTGTAATCTCTGTTCAGCTGGCTAGTTGAACCAAGGTGATGAATTCCATTTCCTGGAAGCAGGTGCCACACAGTATCATCTTCGTGACATCTCGTATCTCTTGGCTTGATCAGCATCACCTGGTACAGGGCATTTTGAGTTGTGAGAAAACTCTTGGGTTGAGATAAAGATAATTTAACAGGTAAAACAAAAGGCACACATACAAGCCAAGCAAAACAAGGAATTCATTTCCCACTTCCCATGGTCAGGCAGGTGTTCAGCTCTCTCCAGGACAGCAGGGCTTTATCACACATAACCGTCACTTGGGAAGACAAACACCATCACTCCCAGCGTCGCCCCCTTCTTTTTTCCCCAGCTTTATATGCTGAGTATGATGCCATATAGTATGGAATATCCCTGGGGTCAGCTGTCCCGCTGTATCCCCCCCAACTCCTTGTGCACCCCCAGCCTGCTCACTGGTGGGGTGCTGTGAGGAGCAGAAAAAGCCTTGACTCCATCTGGGCACTGCTCAGCAGTAATGAAAATGTCACTGTGTTATCAGCACTGTTTCCAGCGCAAATCCAAAACAGCCCCATACAGCTACTATGAAGAAAATTAACTTTACCCCAGCCAATACCAGCACAGGACAGAATTTTCAACTTAATCTTCCTGACCATGAAATCAGGCCCAGTGTTAGAAAATAGAATGAGGAAAATGCTTGTCCCTTCTGATGCTGCAGTAGGTAACCACAGCAGACAGTGGACTTTTAAATCCCAGAATCATGCACAAGATGTTCATATGTTACTCTTTTTTAACACACATCCCTCCCTTGTGTGGAGTCTGACCACAGCCACATCTGTATGTTTCTTCACTTGCAGGCGGTGTTAATTCCTGATGTTGTTGATGTGGAGGCTCCCGAGTACTTAGCCACAGACCTCCTAGTTCTGCTGTACCTGGAGCCTGACCCCCGGTGTTCTCACTGCTTTAGAGCTGCCTTGCCCGTGCACGGGCGATACCACCGGCCGGCAGAAGACAGTGAGGAAGCGTCGGTGGTTCTGAAGAGCCCAGAAGTACTGGTCTGCTGCTGTGACAGTGAGGTTCTTGTTATGTGTTCTTTTGGAGAGAGAGGAATAGTAGTGGGCATACAGAGGTTGGAAACTGGTTCTGTATTTGTCTTCTGGAGCTGGAGCTCTCTGTAGTCATATGAACATGAAGGGAAGATAGTGGCCCTGATAAAGACCACCATTCTTCCTCTTTGAATGCTGCTGCTGCTTGACCAAAGGCAGATTAATTGTTAATGCACTTCTTGGTGTTGTGCTGCTGCCATTGTACCGTTGTGCTGTAGCGGGCAGCACTGGCAGTCGGCCTGTTTGTCGCGGTCCTTGGCTTGTGAAGAGTCAGGTCCTCAGGTGGCTTTTTCAGTGTTTTTCTTGGCAGCTGAAGCCATGCAGGGCATATTTAATATTCACTGTCATGTATTTAGAGTAATCAGAGTATTCTGATGGTTTCTAACACTTCCTGCATTCCTACAGTTAAGGGGGGAATGTGGAAAACTCTGTGCCTGGAGGTTAGAACGGTTGGAGTTGCAGCCTCCTTTGAAACAAGAACCTGATATCCACTGACAATGAATATTTCAAATTGCGTGAACAGTGAAATGCTATATTTTTGCTACAAATTGTATTTCCTTTCACAAAATCATTCGTGCTAGCTGCCAAATCAAATGTGCTAATGATTCTCAGCTCCTTTATCGTCATTTGTGCATTATTTGAGCAATGATTTTTCTGGTAAGGCAGGGAAGACGGCCTGGTCAATTAAAAAGGGTATGAAATCTTCCCATTTTTCTGCCAGATTTACTACTTATGAGCAGGAGAACATAATTATTATTCATATGAAAGCATTTGAAGTATTGGAGGGGAGTTCTTGCATGTGCCAACAGGAGGCCAACAAAGAGAAATGGAAGAATGACTGGTTTGGGGGCAGAGAAGTAATAACTATGGCTAAAGCTGAGGGGTTTACAGGCTAAGTGAGGTATTCTTTGCCCCATTAAGGATGGAAGGGACAAGATACCACACAGGTGAAATTGTTTGTTGGGTACCTACTGCATTGGGAAGAGTTGCGAAGTTCATGAAAAGGACTGCCCAGTACCGCTTCGACTGTGTGGAGTAGCTGGCACATTTCTGTCAATGCTGTTTCACCTGCTGGCTTTCAGGGAGTAGATTCTGTCAAGCTGTTGTGGAGGAAAGATACCTCATTTGGAAAAGCCTTGCAGGCTATATTGCTTCATCCTGTGTGGATCCTGCTGATGCATTAACATCTTCCGCAGATCGCCTACCAGCAGAATGTTGGAAACCTGCTGAAGTGGAAGCTCCCTGCTCAGGCAAAAACGTCAGCCTCTGTCAGTGGCACAGCATAACACACAAACCTGTGAGTTCTTATTTCTGTAGGAATTCTTGCTTCTCTTTTAACAACTGCTGCCTTCTTTTCCCCCTGTGAGTAGCAACTTCCATAGCACAGGAACTAATCAGTAAAAGAGTAGTTGTGCGATTCTCTCTTAGGGAAGCTCCCTTCTTCCTTTCTGATTGGCTTTTAATGGGAGTTATCCTGCCCTTCTTGACATCTTGTAGTCACTCTGTGCTCTTCTGGTCTTTATGATGAGCGCATCCTCACCTTTTTTTTTTTCCTTAATAGTTTACTTGGAATTCTAGGATATAATTGGCACTGGTCAAATTAAGAAAAGTCTTTACAACGTAGGTGCTTCAGAAGAGTAGTGAAGAGGAAAAGTACTTTAGACCCTAACTAAAGGAGAGTTAGAACTGCAAAGAGTGATGGAATAGCATCCTAAAAAAAAAAAAAAAAAAGATTACTTCTATTTGATTGGTTGTTACCTGATTGGCTGAGTATCTAGGAAAACATAAAGTTTCTTTATTCTGTGTCAAAACCAAGGAAAGTGGAATCTTTAGTGTTGTCAGCAACTGCTTTTAATACTCGAAAGGGTTGCAGTAGTGAAGAGATTCAGAAATAAGACTAATTTGGCTCATAACGAATATCTTGGTTGTGTAACACACATGCCTTCCTATATTTAAAGATACCTGCAGATGTCTGGGGTATCTGCAGCTCTTGTCCAAAAACATTTTGTTGCTTCTTGCATCACAGAAACCAAATACTTGTTCACCTTGGAGAAAACTGACTTCTCGTTAAATAGTGGTCTGGTTATTAATCAACAAAGTTGCAGTCAAAAAGAAATAGCTTCTTAAATGTGTGTCGTCCATTTATTTTTCTTTTTAGGCACATGAGGAATCCATTCTGCAGGTTCCAGTGGGGCTCAGGCAACACAGTTCCATGGTGTGTGCCGTGACTCTTCTTGCCACGGTGCTCTGTTCCAGTCTGATTCTTGCAGCTGTGTGCAAATATGGACACTTCTCTGAGGTGACCTGCTCAGAATAAAGAAATACAGAATGACTGACCTCCATACAGCAAAACGCAGACTATTACATCAGCTTTCTAAAAGAATCCTATTCTACTGTTATTTCTTAGTAATGTGTGAGGATCCCATAATGGGTTATAGTTCTCTTGGCCCAATTCTTACCTTTCACACACCAGAACCTGTGGTGTGTTCATACCCACAGCCTGTGGGTAATGAGAAACATCAACTAGTCATTAAATATCTGAATTTTAAGCTCATTGTCCAGATGTGTTATGTATGAATTTGCAAAGAGACATTCTATGCTTGCCTGGGGCAGGAGAAGGCTTAAATAATCTCTCCTGTTACAATAACTGGGAGTGATTAGCTGCTCTTGGTCAAATTAGTTTAGAAAGAATTTAGACAACTTGAAAGAAATTTCACCCTATTTCAGAAGTGGAAAGAGTAACTCATGGAAGATGAAAACTGGTGAAAAGATACTAACCAGAAGCAAATATTTAGAAGACTTGCACTGAGCTGTCAGGACAGCTGATAAATGCAAGGAAATGGGAAGGAAAATGATAGAAACCCTGAGTTGCTCTGGATAGACAGAAGGGCTCGGGTGGTGTTTCTCCTAATTGTCAGTAGGTGGCATTATGAGTTTACGGTAGCTCCTGGGGACTGTTGGCGGAGAAAATAGATTTTATTCCCTATAAGCCGAGAGTAAGTTAGTAAAAGCAGGTGATTTTTGGGAAAGTGTGTGTGAAGGGTTGAATGGAAATTCTGGTTTTCAAATTGCGTCCTTTTGAGAGCTCAGGGTGCAGCCGAGGCTTCTCATCAGCAGGATCAGCTTTTCATCACTGTCCAGCTGTAGCTTCAGGATCCCTTGGGCATCTTTCTTCTGCTTCTGCTGAATTCAATAGAGAGCTCGTCTTGTGACTTCGCCCACGACAGGTTGGCAAGTGCTCTGACACTGGGCTCTTGTTTTCCCTCGACTGTGCTGAATGATGGTGGCTGCGCCAGTCCTTTATCCACTACCTCAGAGGAGTCATGCTCTGCATCTGCTTGGGGGAAGGGAGACACTGAACAGAACAATTGCAGTGAGATTTGTCGGCCTGTTTAACCACATCACAGCAGGGCTCTGGGCCAGTGTGGTAATGCTTGTCTCCAAGTGGGATTTTTAATTCCCTGAGTTGTGTTTTGTGCTCAGTCTCTCTTACAAAGGTAAGTCATTCTGTAAGTCATTCGAAGTGGATGATTTGGGAATCTGTACAAGTGAAGATGTGAGAATGGAAATCCACATTAATGGTAAGATGCCATAGGAGAAACTAAGGCAGGAGGGGCTTGTATTACAGGGGGCGTGGTGCTGTTGGTACTAAACAAACAGTTGACTTCAGAATGGTTTAAATGTGGACTGACCACTTTGGTTGGTATGTGGCTCAGTGTATCTAAAATACATCAAGATCCCACCAACAATCATTTCAGCTCAACTTGTGTAATTCTTACTCTGATTAATGTAAACTACGAGAGAAATCACAGAACTTCTCAATGGATGCGGGTTTTAAACTCATAGCATTTGTATTATAAATACAGTCAACAAGTTTTTCTTTCAAAGCTGTAAGTAAGTCTAATAACTCTTGTAGTGTTAAGTATGAAGGAATTTGCCAGTTAAGCTTTCTCCCCCATACTGAAAACTACTGTCATGAAGCAAGCCCTGCATTTAGCAGGCATGCCCTGATGGTGTGCCAGACACTGGAGGATGCTGGTGCCAGTCGTACAGGGATCACTTCCAGATAGAGGATGAGCTGTAAGGCAGTCATTGCCCTTTGGAAAAATCCTAGCAACTCTGAAGTTAGAATGAGGTGGCTGTGAATTCTTAGCAAGAGAACACAGATAGAGGGGATGGACACAAACATATCCATTATTAATGTGTGTAAGGCCTGAATCAGAGCAGTGAAAGAAAAGGGGTAGATAGATGTGTTAAAGACCATGTTAGGAGTTAAGATTTTCTAAATCTCAAAATAACCCTCCTAGTTTGTTTAAAAAGATGTGCCTGGGGTGGAAGACAGAAGAGTGGGAGGGGGGAAAGGATTCTGAAAATGACTTGGGGAGGCAGCTAAGTGGATTTAACAAAGCAACATGCAAAGAGAAGTGAAGATGATGGCTCTGCCCGCAGTAGGAAGCAGACCAGAGAAGTCTATACCAGCTAGAGCCAGGTCACTTTGCATTACTGTTCCTGGAAAAATAAGGCAGTTCTGTAAGGGCAAGTGTTCTGACCATTGCCTCTGCAGTAATTCTGCTCCCACCAGCCCTTGCTCCCTTGTTCCCAAGGGCAGACCCCAAGGAGCCACTGAAACAGATGAAGCCACTGTGCTGTGCCAAAACAGTTTTCCTCTCACAAAATGAAGCATTGAGGAAATAATCTGAAATTTAAACACCAGAAGATGGTAGCAGAGGGTGAGGAAGAGCCAGCATAGAAGTGCTCTGCCGCTTGTTCGAGCATGGTCGGCCTCTGCCTTGCAGCTGGCTACAGCCCACCGGGAAAGAAGTTATGTATATAAAGCGTAGATGATGCCACCCCAAAACAGCGCTGCACAGCCTTGGCGATGGGGCGGAAGGACGCCCCCAGCGGCGCTGCCCCGGCTCCTCCTGCTCCCGTCCCCAGGGCTGAGGCGGGGCGCTGGGTC